GATTAGCTGTGGCAGGGTCTGTGGTGGATGATCCAAAGTGGATAGTCTCCTCCCCATCCTATCCCACACATGTTCGATGGAATTTAAATCAGGTGAACAGGGTGGTCACGGCAAAACATTAAAGCCTGCTTCTTGAAGAAAGTCCGTAGTACGACGAGCAATATGGGGATGTGCGTTAACTTGATGAAAAAGGATGTGTGGACGGCCCTCTTGATACGGCAGTAAAATGGTTTGCACGATATCATCAACACAACGTGCGTACCTAGAAAGAATCACGATCCGTCGCTGAAGATGACAATATGCCTCCCAATCTTGCTGTTCTATGTTCCAGTTCAACCGTTAAAGACAGTGGTCCGCAGTCAGAGAAAGCATTAACCGTGAACGGTGAAGAGTCCAAAGGCTCAAATGCGGCGATCGAGTGTACGCATAGGAACATGTCTACCTTCTTCTCCAAAGCATTGGTCAGAGATCTGACGCGTTGTTTAACGCGCCTATCTTTACGCTCTGTGGTACGCCTCGGTGGACCAGTTGGCCCTCGTGTTCCTCTACCTTCTTCTATCCACACACGACACACACGCATTACCGTCATTACAGTACTATCAAAACGGTCTCGTAGAGCTAGTTGTTTGAAGCGCCTATATTGACTCTCTGTGGTACGCTTCGTTGGATCAGTTGGCCTTCTTCGTGTTCCTTTACCTTCTTCTATCCACACACGCATTACCGTCATTGCAGTACAATTAACACGGCGGCCAATTTCGCGATACGACAAACCAACATCTCGATAGGCAATAATTCTACCCCTGCCAAAGTCGGTAAAATGGTGATAATTTGGACGTCTTCGAGCTCGAGTGATGTTATTAACTAAAAATATCTGTACTACTCAGCTGTCAGCAACAGCTTTTTGACAAAAAATAAAAAAATGCATTTTAACAAACGTAAACAAACACAAAGATAAAACGTTGACAATATAATGTTGCCACATTATGCTTCCAATATAATTGTGTTATCTAAATAACAAGTTGAAGAAATTATTTTTTCTGGGTGTAACACTTCTAATGTCACTAAGTATATTTGTTAGGTGTATATTTATTTCCCTGGGCCCATTAATCAGCTTTCTTGGGGTCTTTATCGATGTCTTTTTACATTCTCGGACGATACAATAACAATAGGTACTATATGTTTCATATAAACCAGTAGAAGTGATGTTTATATGTTTATATGTTTAAAAGTTTGAGAGGTTATCCTGTTGTCAGCTGATGTTTACAAATGGTATGACGTCAGAAAACATTATTATGGGCCAAACACGGCGGACAGCGTTTTCGCTTGTCTAAGAAAAATACATTTTTAAATCACATTGAAAAAATATAGTATAGTAAGTGACATATAAATCCGAACACCCAGTTTAAATGGTTTTATTTTAATAAAAGTTGGTGAATGTATTTATCTTACTGTAAATAACAAGTGAAAAAATTTTCGTCCTTATCAGTTGGACATTCCGGTTTTTATCCTGCTTTTTTTTAATTCAAACGCTCTAAAAATGAATATTTCAGCCGCAGTAAAGAATCAACGTTGGCGGATTTTGGTTCTTGACATCCTTTACGATCGGTTACGATGCCTAGAGTATGGAGACCTGTACGATTTCGTCAACTTAGTGAGTTTGGTAGGGGCCGTATAGTGGGACTTCGGGAAGCTGGACTTTCTTTCCGGGCAATTGCAGTTAGAGTGCAAAGAAGTGTAGACACTGTGGTTAGGTGTTGTCAGGCAAGGCTTCGAGAAAGCCGTACGCAAAGAGCAAGGGGCACTGGACGCCGCCGTAGAACAACAGACCGTGAAGATCGCCGCCTAAGATTATTGGCCTTAAGGGACCGTTTCTCCACTACCAGGTCCATTGCAAATGAATGGTTTGCAGAACACGGAAGACCTATTGGCATGCGAAGTGTTTACCGACGAATGAGAAAATTTGGCTTATTTTCATACCGGCCACACTGGGTCCTCCCTTTAACTCGAGAACACCGACGTAATCGCCTTGAGTGGTGCAGACAACGGTCACTCTGGGATCAGGAATGGAACAGTATTGTCTTTAGTGACGAGTCTCGATTTTGTTTAGGCATGCACGATGGTCGTGACAGGGCTAGAAGGCGACGTGGTGAAAGGAGGAATCCACAGTTTTTTGTTGAAAGACATGTTCATCACACTGTTGGAGTTATGGTTTGGGGTGCTATAGCTTATGGTTCCAGGTCACCTTTAATCTTCATCAGAGGTAACATGAACGCGCAACGTTATATCTACGAAGTTCTAGAACCCCATCTTTTACCCTATCTTGACACCCTGGCAGATCCAACTTTCCAACAAGATAATGCCCGACCACATGTTGCAAGAGTCACAATAGACTTCTTTCAACATAATGATGTCACATTGTTACCATGGCCACCAAGATCTCCCGACTTATCCCCAATTGAGCACGTGTGGGATATGATGGGTAGGAGATTGCTCAATTTGCAACGTCCTCCTCAGACTCTAGAAGCACTTCGAGAGGAGTTGGTGGTTGCCTGGAATGAGATACCACAGGAGGACATTGATCACCTGATCAGAAGCATGCCTAGGCGCGTTGGAGAATGCGTAGCACATCAGGGTCCATTTACACATTATTAAAGGCCAAAGGGCTTTAAAGCAGGGCAATCATTTTGAAATTTTTATCATTTACTTATTATGCTTCATTAAGTACTTATACAAAATTTTATTACAATAAAACCATTTAAACTGGGTGTTCGGATTGATGTGTCACTTAGTATATTAATTTTTTTGGTTTCGTAGAACAAATGTTAACTAAAAATTAGCCCATTCTAAGCATCTATGACTTTTTTAATCCTCATCAAAATGATAGATGGATCCACAAAACGTTAAAAACCTAAATATTTGTTTAAAGCGTACGTAGACAAACTTTTATGTGCCACATAGGACACGATGAATCTGTGGTTCATGACTTTGTGACACAGCATTTGAACATGCGCAAGGTGTGCGCGAAGATGGTCCCAAAAGTGCTCACTGACGATTAGGAATTGCGTCGAGTGGAAGTGTGCCAAGAAAATTTGAACATGTGTGAAAGTGACCCCCAATTTTTTAATAACGTAATCACAGGTGACGAGTCGTGGATCTTTGAGTATGATCCCGAGACAAAGAGGCAATCTTCCGAGTAGCACACGACGGCGTCTCCTCGCCCAAAAAAGGGAAGAATGAGCAAATCTAAAGTGAAAACGATGCTCATTGTCTTTTTTGACATCAAAGACATCGTCCACCATGAATTTATTCCTCCTGGACAAACCGTCAACGCCAAGTTTTATGTGGAAGTGCTCACGAGACTCAAACGAAAGATCAGTCGGGTCCGACAAGACATCGCAGCCGACTGGAAGTTGCACCACGACAACGCCGCGGCTCATACCGCCTTTCTTGTGAACAGCTACCTGACCAAGGCCGGCATCCCGACGCTTCCGCAGCCGCCCTACAGCCCAGATGTGGCTGCCCCGGACTTTTTTTTTGTTTCCTCGCCTGAAAAGGCCGATGAAAGGCAAGCATTTTGAGACGACAGAGGGGATCCAAGCAGCATGCACCGCGGCTCTCAAGGCTATTCCGGAGAATGCCGTCCGTGACGCCTTCAATGCTTGGAAATCGCGCTGGCAGCGCTGCATCGACGCAGAAGAATCCTATTTTGAAAGTTTTCAAAGAATTGTAACGATTGGCCCCATTAAATTTTTTAAATCGACCCAGTCCTATTACTTTCCGGACAAACCCTGTATGATGTATCAAGACTATGTCAGTCAGTTTCCAAATCAGGCGTTGCGTGGTGTCTAGGTTATCCGTATTTGAAAATCCAAGATCGGTACATTCTTAGAGCAATAACGTAGTTATCGATTTGATACGAGCATCTTCAAGAGCTTATTGATACTCCGTGAGTGTACTCAGAACGTCGCCGTCGTCCTCGACGTTTCTTTATATGTTTGTTTATACAGTGCAAAGCCGGCTTGTTGAACTCAGATGGAGACCTAGACAGCTCCAAATGTTGTAAATTTAGGAAGAGGTAAACAAAGTCGTGTTTTTGAATCAATCAGTGACAACTTCGAGCAATCTTTACAACCAAACATTTGACAAGTCAGTAGTTGAAATTCCTTACCAAATGAATAGTGAGTATTTCTCTTCAATTATTTTTGTACGTTTTCTATGTGGTTTTGCCGGAAATTAGCTTTGGTATTGCAAACGGAAAGTCCCAACTTTCAGGATACACTGTATAAACTTCTCTTATTCCAGAAAATATTCACCTGAAACCATAACCCACACGATCGGTTAGCAAATTTTCAAATGGGTTTTATCTAGTTCCAGAAAACGTAATGGAAATAACACAGATCTCTTACGATCATGCAGTGAACTTCACATGTGCAGTCACAGAAGTATATCCAACTCCAAAGTTGTTCATGTACAAGGATTTTAGAGACGATCAGCATAACAGCAGGTGAGTTTTTCTGCTTTGAATGTAATTTTGTAAATATTATAATAACATAGTGTGGTTAGAAAAACTATGACGTTTCTAGAGCAGTATATCGGAAGAGAACACGGAATGCTCGTATAAATGCAGGTCCTAAGCTGTTTCTCTGGCGTGATACCAGTTGATGTAAGAATATACAGGGTGTTTCAGTTTATTGTTGCATAACTTTAAGATTCGATAGAACTTTTAAAATTAATGCATAAAGTCTATATAAACATGGGTCGAAAAATGCGTGGCTTCCGAATTACTTTCTAAAATAGTTTTTTTTTAAATATTTCGAACAATATTTGATGTATAACAGTGAAAATTGGTATACAATGGTTTTTTGGTACGACAAAACGAACCATGGTTTTACTGTAGCTGCTAGAGGGCGCTCTCTACTGTATCTGTAGTGTATTAAAATTACAAAAAAAAATTTCTTAGTGCATTTTTTTGCTTTCTGAATAAGAAAACTGATTCTTCGCACTTTTCAACATAAAAAAGCTCTCTTGTGAATTTTCGTTATAGTTATCCGTTTTTGAGATATTTTGATTTTTAACGTTCGATGCATTTTTAAATATTTATGATAAAATAACGTTAAAAGGTCAGTATCTCGATAATTTTAGAAGTAGGCTGTGCCTGCAAATATTTTTGAAATTGAAAGCAGAATAAGGTTAAACGTCAATTAGTTGACAGTTAGTTTTGTTGTCTGTTGAAACCTGAAACGTTTTTTTGTGAATGCACGAAATTTAGTTTCTTTTACCTGTTTTTTTTTTGTAAGTTTTATAAAAATGCCATTTTTATTCTCCAATTAAGAGTTAGCGGATATTCATTTTGTGTATGGCTTTGTAAATGGAAACGCAGCAGAAGCAGCCAGAGAATACGCACGAAGATTTCCAAACAGACGACATCCAACTCGCTCAGTATTTGTAAGAGTGCATCGCCAAATAATTGAAAATGGTTTTGGAAATCTGCAAAGGGATCAAAACATAAATGTTCGTCAGAGCAGATTTACCCGTATGATTCTGCGTGAGTTTGATAGAGATCCGACCACAAGTGTTAGGAGAGTTTCTGGTGCCTTGGGAATTTCAGCAAGCCATGTTCACCGTGTTCTTAGAAATGCCCATAGACGTCCTTACCATTTGCAACCTGTGCAAGGACTACAGCCAGGGGACGGAGAATGAAGAATCACATTTTGTCAGTTTATTCTTGATAGAACTGATAATAATAGGGAAAGAAATTTTCAGCATGAATTTAGTGTGAACGTTTGGATTGGAATCTACAGTAATCGACTATTTGGACCCTACCTTTTGCCTGCAAGGTTAAATGCTGCGACCTTCTTGGAATTTTTAAAGGCTGAACATGCAAATGTGTGGGATGATGTTATGTTAGTTTTAAGAAAATTGGCCTGGTTCCAGCTTGATGGTTGTCCAGCTCATTATTCGAGAATAGTTAGAAACTGACTGGACGAAAATTATCCAGAAAGATGGATCGGCCGTGGAGGACCAGTCGCCTGGCCTACACGATCCCCTGGCCTAAATCCATTAGATTTCTTTGTGTGGGGATTTCTAAAAGAAAAAGTGTACCAGACTCCCGTAACCACAAGAGATATGCTAATAGACCGAATCAGGAATGCATGTGATGAAATAAGGCCTTATTTGAATAATGCTATACCACGTTTGATCATTCGTAGATGTGAATTGTGTATTGAACAATTGGGTTTACATTTCGAGCAACTAATTTAGATTTTGTATGTTTGTCCTAACTATCCAATAGCATTTTAGTTGTAAATAATTAATTTAATTTGTTAAAAATAATATTGGAAAATTAAACAAATTAATATTCTGTTGTTTTGTGTTTATTTGGAGTTAGGAATTATTGCTGTGTTTAAAAACACAATCTAAACGATCATCTAAATTACTTGTAATGCCTAAATCGAAAATGTAAAAAAACAGTATTTTCCCATAAATAATTATAAATGCATCGAACCTTAAAAATCGAAATATCTCAAAAACGGCTAACTATAACGAAAACTCACAAGAGAGCTTTTTTATGTTGAAAAGTGCGAAGAATCAGTTTTTTTATTCAAAAAGCAAAAAATTGCACTAAGAAAAATTTTTCGGTCATTTTAATACACCACAGGTACAGTAGAGAGCGCCCTCTAGCGGCTACAGTAAACTATGCCCATGGTTCGTTTTGTCGTGCCAAAAAACCCTTGTATACCAATTTTCACTGTTATACATCAAACATTGTTCGGAATATTTAAAAAAAACTATTTTAAAAAGTATATTTAAACACCCTGAATTTCGGAAGCCACGCATTTTTCGACCCATGTTTATATAGACTTTATGCATTAATTTTAAAAGTTCTATCGAATCTTAAAGTTATGCAACAATAAACTGAAACACCGTGTATAACTTTAATATTTGTTGAATAAACTTATGACGCAATTTTAATTTTACTATATTCACAGTTTTTTACACCGAAGCAGCTGCGCAGGTAGAAGCCTAAATGCCAAGTCACCGCAGCTGCTATGAGGAGCTCAAAGAAACTTTGTTAATTCGATTTTTTAACTGACCAAGGTTAGTAGAACTGAGAAAAGCCTCCTCATGTAGAGGACACTATAGGGATAAAGGAGCGGACGTATCATCCAGTTCTATATGTACGAAGTTCGACTTGGTTAGGATGGGAGGCTGAGGTCAGGCTGATCTGTCTGGCAGGCACATCGCGCGGAGGCATCATAGAAGAGCGCTCTTAGGAGCAAAGCTCGTTGGCATAACAGTAGAGGAGAGCTAGATCGCCAACGGCCCGCCGGTGCGAAAGGAGCCTGAAAGTCTCAGTTATAGAAGAGCCTTCGATTAGTTTTCTGAACAGTATCTTGTCTAGGCCTTGCAAAGAGTGAAGAGGTCTTGTGGAGAAAAGTGCTTTTTAGCCCTAAACTATTGCCTAGCTTTCTCCCAACACCTGCCGCTATTGACGAGATATGTTTATGCCAGATTAAGTCTTCGGTGATCTGGACTCCGACCAGCTGAAATGTACGGCTCTTTGGTAGAACTCGACCATCCATTGAAACCGGATGAGCACTAGGACGCTTCTTGTTCGTCAAGGTACAAAGAGGTCATTGTTATGGATGGGGAACAATCTCGGAGCCAAGACGGATCCCTTGGGAACACCCGTTTTGACTTTGTTGAATGAAGATGAGAACCCTGCAATTACTATGGATATCTTGCGGCCAGAGAGGATGTCAGCCACAATTTCCATAGCTTCTATGGGAGGCCATAGGATGGAAGTTTCCATAAGAGGGCAACGTGCCTCACCATAAAACTAGTTTACTCTACAGTTGAGTGACGTAAGCTATGAGGTCCTCTATGGATCGCAGCTGCCTATCGCTAATCAAACCGTGGCGTACGAGGTAGTCCAGAAGCTTCCGATTTATGTACCTCTCCATCACCTTATAACAGAAAGCAGAGCTATAGTCCTGCACTTGTAAAAGTCACCTTTAGATCTTTTTTAGGGACGTGTTTTACATAAGCAAATTTCCATTCTATTCAAACTAAAACGGCTTCAATTTCTTGATAAGTTGATTGATATCAAATGCAAGCTTATTCAGTAGACAGGTCCTTAGAACATGTAAGCGGGGCAGTTTACCTCTATCTGCTGCTGCTGCTGTTGGGGCACAAGCCTCCAGGTTTCTTGGCTTCTCGTGGAAAAATTTTGGGCGCTGGCGCTGTTGGACCAGGTTAGTCAGATTGGTTAATATCGAATGCCCCGTAATTAAATTAGTCGAACTTCAAACGGGGGATCCCGTCTTTTCAAGCAGGGGTGATATGTTTACTCCTAAGTATCGTTTTAACCGCTAGTTCAATGTAGAGTGGATACTCATCGGATGTGAGGGTGAAGTGGATTCCGGAAGCGAGAAGTGCACAAGTCTGGTACACGGATGGCTCGACTACTGAAGAAGGTTCTGTCTTAGGGCCTAGAACTAGGGTCTCACTGCCTTTCGGTGGATACACCACTATTTTCCATGCGGAAATCTATGCGTTTCTGGCTTGAGGCATTCTGGAGGGGGAATGGCGTAGGAGAAGAATAACAATCTTCGCTGACAGCCAGAGTGCAATGAAGGCACTAAGTGCCTACAAATTTCTTCGAGCCTTGTATTACAATGCATGGATGCTCTGGATAGCTAAACAGAGAGGCATCTGGCATCGATAGTATGAGTTACGGGGTACGCTAGAATAAACGGTAATGATATGGCGGACGCTCTCGTGAAAGCAGGATCAGCGGGCAAGCTTGCTCTAGGGGTGCCCGCGCAGAGAATCAGGATGATAACCGAGAAGTGGATATCTAGATATCTTTCTGAAATGGAGAAGTATCCGTAGACATCGCCATCAGGCACGAGAGCTCATCTTAGGGCCCAGTGTTAAGGATGGACGCTTTTGATTATCTGTGGAGTTGCTGGTGGGTCTGTTGTTTGGCCATAATATGTTGAGGCGCCGTCTGCATGTGACGGGGGTGGTTGAGGATCTCTCTATAGGATGAGTCCTCTGTGTCTCTGCGGTGCCCTGAGCTACTACACGCAGATTATACTGGGGTTTAACACTACCCAGAACGTTAAGGTACTGGAAATCAGGCTATCCTCAACTTTGGTATAAGGGTGGAGCTTGAGGCTTAGGGAATGTCTGGTGCATAGGTAATATGTGGCCTATGCGCCAACTCCTCGTGGTGGCGGTAAACCTTTATTTCATTCGTCCAATTAAAATCTTACACTACCGTTAACACTACTTCAACGTTCTTAGGATTTAGGACCTATGTTTACAGGAACTTTCCGTATCATTTTAGGCCATAGTTTCTAGTCTCATGAAGGATGTTTCCAAAGTTGAGTCATTTATTTTAACAGCTTGTAGAACTCGACAAAAGAAGTTGTTTACAATGATGAGGATAATACTGGTCTTGTCGTAGTGTCTTCCACACTTTTCTGTGACAAACTTCAACTTGAGCTGCTATAGCTCTAGTACTCATTGTTGGGTCGTCTTTCTCGAAGTCTAATAACTAAATTTACAAACATTGGCCGGATGATTTTTTAAAGGAAACCTTTCCGTATACAACCTGCATGCTGCGACTGCATTTTGTTGCCATTATGTCCACTAGTTCATTGCTTTTGTCAACATGGCCCAATTTTTCGCACAAAATAATCAGACAGTATACGTACTATTAAACTACTGATACAACTGATCGAACCAAAGACTCGTACTGAAAATCATACAGTAACAAAGAGATTGCAAATTTAGATGAACGATAATAGAATAGAATATCAAAAAATGTGTGTAACATCGCTTTTATTTTTAAAAATTTTTAATCTTTCACTATTTCTTTCAATTATGCAACTTTTATATAGGTGAATTTTGGTATATCAACTTCTTTCGATTAGTTTTACAAGCTGTTAAATGACTCAACTTTGAAAATACCCCGAAAATCTTTAATCACCCTGCATATTCCATTGATAGAAACAGACTACAAACTATGCACTGGGATATTGTGAAAACGCAAGGTAATCGGTACAATGTCTACATTGTCGCTACAGAAAGGACAGCAAATCTGAAACCAGGGACTTTGATTGGCTGCGAATTGAGGATTCCTGGTACAGGGTACGTGAAGATCAAGAGTCATTTGTTCTACCCAGCAGGTGAGACAGATACACAAAAGACATTTTACATTTTTACCATCCACACAATTAGGAAATTAAGTTGCCATGAATTTCAGGAGTTTTATAAATAGTTTAATTAATACGCGTGAGTGGAGCGAGTAGAGGGCGTGGTCAAATACGAGCCCCTTCCCACTTCAGTTGGCCCAACTATTGAAATCTTAGTTTTTTTCTTATCAAACACAAATAATAAAAATGTAGCAGGGTGTTATAGGTTTAAAATATTAACAATGAATATTTTGATAATATATAGTAGAAAACACTAACTTTATCACTCCCTAATCAAATTTGCAGAATAAAAATAACACATGTTGCAATTGCAGCATATCAACCTAAATTCAAAATAAGTCTATAACGCATAGGTGGCTGTGAAAAATAAAAGCCATGACAATTGTTTTTATTAATCACAGGTGTCAGAATACGTTTAAAATAGTTTTGGGTAGTTACGGTTTTCAAAATGGGTAGAGGAAAGGTTATTAGTGAGACAATTCGGTTACTGATAATTAAATTTCTTGATTCTGGGAAATCAAACTCAGAAATTGCTACTTTGTTAGACTTATCGCGGTACAGTGTGAGAAATATTGTTAGAAGATATAACGTAACTGGTTCAGTTAATATTAAGTCACGATATGTGAAAAAAAGTAATATCACAAATGCTGACCGAAGAGCATTAAGAAGAATAATAGTGAAAAACAGGCGTGCCAATTATTTACAATTAAGTGCTCTGTGGAGTGACACTGTTGGAAGGAGAATTTCGAGGTCTACAACTCATAGAGAGGTCCACAAACTGGCATTTAGCACTTGCAAGGTAAGTTTTCTTATAAATAAAAGTGAAGTAAAAACCCTAAAGTTGCACAACTTGTTTACAGGCCAAAGAAAAGCCACTATTAACTCCACTGCAAAAGGAAAATCGGCTTAGATGGGCTGAAGAACATAGACAATGGACACCTCAACAATGGTGTGCAATACAATGGAGTGATAAGGCCCGATTCGAAGTTTGTGTTGGTGACAGTCGCAGTAGAGTTATTAGCAAAAAAATGAAGCATTTCATGTTGACTGTCTGAAGAGAAAAGTGAAATTTCCAGCATCCATTATGGTCTGGGGCAGTATGTCATCAAAAGGAGTAGGAAAACTTCATTTTATTGATGGAAATGTGGATACAAACAAATATTTGGCAATTTTAGAAGAATCGCTTTTACCAGTGATGGAAGAATGTTTGACATCCGGCCAAGATTTTGTGTTTCAGCAAGATGGTGCAGCGTGCCATACCTCAAAAAAGGCTATAAAATGGATGGAAGAAAATAATGTTCCACTTTTAAAATGGGTTTCCAGCAGTCCAGATCTGTCACCTATTGAAACTTTGTGGCACGAGATGAAAAAGGTTCTACGACAACATCCTGCTCTTACAATCACCGAACTGAGACAAAAGCTTCAAGAAATATGGGATTGTTTTACACCAAATTTTTGCCAAAACTTGGTTAACACTATGCCCCAAAGAATTTCAGCCGTCATGAACAATAAAGGTGATGTTACCCAATGGTAATCTTTCAATTGTTGCTTCGTTAACTTCGCGCATTTATTCGCACATTGTTTATTTGTTCAGCTGTTCTATTAGTTATAGGTCAAAGTGATTTCAAATATGGATTTTTTACGACTAGAGTGTATCTAAAATGTTTTTGAGAAAATAAATTGTTTTAGAAGTAAATAGTTTCGTCATGTTTAGTTTATAAAGGCATATTTCGGTACAAATCTTGAAGTGGGCCAACTGAAGTGGAAAGGGGCTCGTGGATTTTTCATCGTATTTCCATATTATCTCGTTAATTTTTTGAACAAACTCAAATTGTTTTTCACATATCGACAGGATATCACTGTTTTCATGTCATGAGCTATTGAAGACGTGACAAAGTAAGTGGGTAGTCAAGTTATCAGATAATATTGTCTAAAAAGAAAATTTTTTTTAAAACAATGGGCTCATTACATTAAAATACTTTAACGTAATGTGGATACTACATTTGAACTTGGTCGCATTAATATTTTTCGAGAAAGTATGGAAATACGATTAAAAAAACGGACCAAAAAAGCATGTACCATCACAAAAATTCAATCAGCGGCCACAGAAAAACAACATAAAAAGCGTGACCAATTACCAATCAAATCGACTCAAGAATCATTCGTTGAATCACATGTTTAGTTTAGTAATTCAAAGTTTATTAAAAAATAAGTTAAAGCATAAAATATTTTTGGATAGCTCATTTGTCTAATGCTTTCTTCTAAATCATGGATGAAGCCTAAACGTGTCACAAACTTGCAAATTTGTAATTGTAGCGACTTATTTATTAAAAAAATATTGTAGACTTGAAGCACTCAGAATTAAATATTTTGTGAAGAATACGTTGTCATGATGGAAAATTGATCATTCGAATATACTAAGTGACATATAAATCCGAACACCCAGTTTAAATAGTTTTATTTTAATAAAAATTGGTGAATGTGTTTATCTTACTGTAAATAACAAGTGAAAAAATTTTCAGCCTTATCAGTTGGACATTCCGGTTTTTATACTGCTTTTTTTTAATTCACTTAACGCTCTAAAAATGAATATTTCAGCCGCAGTAAAGAATCAACGTTGGCGGATTTTGGTTCTTGACATCCTTTACGATCGGTTACGATGCCTAGAGTACCGAGACCTGTACGATTTCGTCAACTTAGTGAGTTTGATAGGGGCCGTATAGTGGGACTTCGGGAAGCTGGACTTTCTTTTCGGGCAATTGCAGTTAGAGTGCAAAGAAGTGTAGACACTGTGGTTAGGTGTTGTCAGGCATGGCTTCGAGAAGGCCGTACGCAAAGAGCAAGGGGCACTGGACGCCGCCGTAGAACAACAGACCGAGAAGATCGCCGCCTAAGATTATTGGCCTTAAGGGACCGTTTCTCCACTACCAGGTCCATTGCAAATAAATGGTTTGCAGAACACGGAAGACCTATTGGCATGCGAAGTGTTTACCGACGAATGAGAAGTTTTGGCTTGTTTTCATACCGGCCACACTGGGTCCTCCCTTTAACTCGAGAACACCGACGTAATCGCCTTGAGTGGCGCAGACAACGGTCACTCTGGGATCAGGAATGGAACAGTATTGTCTTTAGTGACGAGTCTCGATTTTGTTTAGGCATGCACGATGGTCGTGCCAGGGTTAGAAGGCGACGTGGTGAAAGGAGGAATCCACAGTTTTTTGTTGAAAGACATGTTCATCACACTGTTAGAGTTATGGTTTGGGGTGCTATAGCTTATGGTTCCAGGTCACCTTTAATCTTTATCAGAGGTAACATGAACGCGCAGCGTTATATCCACGAAGTTCTAGAACCCCATCTTTTACCCTATCTTGACACCCTGGCAGATCCAACTTTCCAACAAGATAATGCCCGACCACATGTTGCAAGAGTCACAATAGACTTCTTTCAACATAATGATGTCACATTGTTACCATGGCCACCAAGATCTCGCGACTTATCCCCAATTGAGCACGTGTGGGATATGATGGGTAGGAGATTGCTCAATTTGCAACGTCCTCCTCAGACTCTAGAAGCACTTCGAGATGAGTTGGTGGTTGTCTGGAATGAGATACCACAGGAGGACATTGACCACCTGATCAGAAGCATGCCTAGGCGCGTTGGAGAATGCGTAGCACATCAGGGTGCATCCACACATTATTAAAGGTCAAAGGGCTTTAAAGCAGTGCAATCATTTTGAAATTTTTATCATTTACTTATTATGCTTCATTAAGTACTTATACAAAATTTTATTAAAATAAAACCATTTAAACTGGGTGTTCGGATTTATATGTCACTTAGTATATGTATTTGTACAGCTGAATATTTTATTTCAACTTTTGTTCGAACAGCTGCTTTTGGAAATGGAGGTAACGTATATGTTTTAAGTAAATACGGTATCTCAAAAAAGTCTTGTGATTTATGTAAGTGCAATTGCAAAAAGGAATATTCGCCTCAACATAATACATATTAATAATCAACTAATAAAAATCCGCTACATGAAAAATCTGAACAAAGCCTGGAGAGAATATATTCAAAGTTGGAATTTTTACGATACTCAATAACAGAAATCTATATCCCGAACGCGTTGTGGATTTTCACATCCTGAATTGGGAAGTAACTTGTATACAGGATGACCTGAAAGTCGGGACTTTCCTTTTCAGAAACAATTACGTTTGCATTTATAAAATGAATGTGTAATAAGACAACAGCGGAAAAGAAAAAAAAAGTACTCACCGTTCACCGAAAAAAAAAAATTCAAATACAGCTCCAGTCACTTGTAAGTATTGTTCAAAATTGTCTGCGACAGATCCAAATTCACATGTATGTGCCCGACGTAGTCAAGAATCAGTGTAGACTTTTAGAATGGATTGCCTTTTCCGAATGAATGTAACAGATTGCTAAATTTACAAATCGAATGTTCCGGTCAAACCGGAAGTACGTCAAAGCAAGTGAATATGTCAAAAAATGTAAATTCATCTATAATACGCAACCTCGATTTTCTATCTTCAATAATAAAAAAGTTAGAGTAGTGAGCCACCTTGGGGAGTCACCCGGTATAGTGAATACAGAAACAGCGATGACAAATTCTCTCAGACGACGCTACGGTATCGCATTTTCTATCGAATAATTCTTTGGACGCGGGATTCTAGCTTTAGCTTGGCTATCTTAACTTAGAATATGTAATCAAAGGTACAACATATCTATGTCACGATTTCCATGTCCTTTTATTCAACTGATCGAATGCATTTACGAAAGTCTTTAAACGAAAAAAAAAAATGGTATCTGATTATAACATTTATGCAATTTTGTCCATGAAAGTAGCACAAAGTAAAGGAATTATACAGGGTGCTCCTTAATGATATGCTAATATTTGGTGTGAATCTACTTGAAAAATGCATGTTAGTTTGCTTTATAAACTATGGTCCAAAAATGTTTCCTTACAAAAACTCGGGGTGTTGAAGTTTTAGGAAAAAAATGGAAATTAATTAATATTTTCAGAACCGCTTCAGATATTTCACTAAAATTTGGAACGTAGTGGAAGTTAATAAAGTTGCATATTTATCAATGCAAAAATAATTTTTAGCTTTGGCGTGCGTACGGATATTGACTCCGATATTTTAAAAAAAAAAAATGGTACGCCAATGGTTTTTTGCCAAATAAAAATTATTTTTGAATTCCCCGTTCAATTTAAAACAAATGATCTTTCTTGAGTCTTTTCTTCGATGCGCCATTTTTGAGTAAAAAAATAAAAACCGTTCTATTGTCTAACTTGCAAAATTATTGTTAATTTAATTGGAAAAATTAATTAAACACATTAGGAGTAATGAAAAACAACAACTGACAACATAAACATGACATTAAAACCAAGAAATGATTACAAAAATTGTTGAAAATGACCCTCTTCACTTAGTTTGCATGCTTCCGCCCTCCTTCTCATGGAATTGCGCACTCGTTGAAATATCCCTGGAGCGTTTTTTATTCACAAGCTGCAACTATTCTTTCTCTTAATTCCTCTACAGTGTTAATGGGACTTGTGTAAACTAGTGTCTTAAGATAGCCCCACAAAAAGAAATCTAAACTGTTGAGGTCTGGGGACCTTGGTGGCCATCCTTGGGGCCCACCGCGGCCATTCCAACGATTTGGATACTCAGTTTGTAAATAATTACGAAGCGCTACACTGGTGCACCATCATGCATGTACCACATATTGTTTCTTATTACTAGCGGAACATTATTAAGCAGCAAAGGCAAGTGTTGTTGAAGAAAGTTGAGGCAAGTCTGACCGTCAAGTCGTCCCGTCAAGAAGAATGGGCCAGTAAAGTAGTTGCCAATAATTTCTGCTCATACGTTAATCCAAAATTGGTGTTGGAAATGGGTTTTGGCTACGGAATATTGATTTTCTTCTGCCCACAAATGACTATTGTGGAAATTCTGAATGGCATTTCGAGAAAAATTAGCTTCGTCCGTGAACAGAATCATTGATTCAACTTGCGGATTTTGTGTAACTTTTTGAAGATACCACTGACAAAAGGTCACATGCCTTGGAAAATCAATGGGACGTAATGCCTGTACTCTTTAAATATGGCAACGATATAAGAAAAAATCCACTAAAATTCTCCAAACAATTTGATGGCGAATATTCAAGTGTCTAGCGATTTAAGGTGTTCTCACACAGGTCTACCTTCAGATGTTCCTTTTCGGACAGAACCAGTTTCAGCAAGACGACGATGAATATTAGAAAAGGTTCAACTATCTTGCAAAGCACGATCGGGATATCTCTGGTGATAAATCCGTCTGGCTTGCTCACCATTACCGTCGGCAAGGCCATATACGTAATGCATTTCCGCCATTTCTGCATTTGAATAAATCACCATTATTTACAAGATTGTAAAAACTAAATAATGAAAAAGATGTCACAGCGAACTGAGACTTGTCAGATGTCAAAAGCCAGTGACATATTCCAGAGCAACTAGATATTTGTTTCTAAATTGCATTCTTCAATTATTACATTAATTTTCTCGGACAATAGAACGGTTTCTATTTTTTTACTAAAAAATGGCGCATCGAAGGAAGGCAACTCAAGAGAGATCATTTGTTTTGAATTAAACGGGGAATTCAAAAATAATGTTTATTTGGCAAAAAACCATTGGCGTACCATTTTTTCTTAAAAAATATCGAAGTCAATACCTGTACGCACGCCACTGTTAAAGCTAAAAATTATTTTTTCATTGAAAAATATGCAACTTTATCAACTTTCACTACGTACGGAATATCACTGAAATATCTGGAGTGGTTCTAAAAATATTAATTAATTTCCATTTTTTTCCTAAAACTTCAACATCCCGAGGTTTTGTAAAGAAACATTTTTGGACCATAGTTTATAAAGCAAACTAACATTAATTTTTCATATAGATTCACACCCTTAAATATTCGCATATCATTAAGAAACATATATTCATATTTTATTGTTTTTTTGCTATACGAATATGTAGTTCGATCAATTATTTTGCAGGTTTTTCAGATTTACATCATCAACTTCTACCGAATCTAATCTCTTTGGTGTTGTTTTTTACAAATGCACTGTAAGCTTGAATATGTTTAATGTTAGCATTTATTACTATGTAAGTATTGTTTATTTCTCAGCTACTATGATCATCGGGATTGACGGCTTTTTCTGACTATGTAATGATAATATTTTAATTTCTATACGAATATTGTTTAACCTACTTTTCGCGTGAAATGCAATATTGTATTCTATTCATACTCGATTTGCTCTGCATTGCAACAAACATGAGCACTCGACCGTCTAGTTTTCGCTGGTCGCTGCCTGCCGAGGCATTTAAGGCTCGCTGGCCAGGAGGAGCGTGCGAATGTGAACGTCGCGAGCTGGTGTTTGTTTTGACGTAAATGAGATTTGTATACGTTCTTACTACTATTTCAGATCATTGCGCCATAAGAATGCTTGAACAAAATATAAGTTTCTTCATCTTAATGCATTGCTTTTAGACGTTACTTATGTTGATGTTTCCTGGATTTATTAACATATCATATACAGGGTGTTTCAGTTTATTGTTGTATAACTTCAAGATTCGATAGAACTTTTAAAATTAATGCATAAATGGGCATAGTTTTACTGTAGCCGCTAGAGGGCGCTCTCTACTGTACCTGTAGTGTATTAAAATGACCGAACATTTTTTCTTAGTGCAATTTTTTGCTTCTTGAATAAAAAAACTGATTCTTCGCACTTTTCAACATAAAAAAGCTCTCCTGTGAGTTTTCGTTATAGTTAGCCGTTTTTGAGATATTTCGATTTTTAAGGTTCGATGCATTTTTAATTATTTATGGGAAAATAATATTTTTTTTTACATTTTCGATTTGTGCATTACAAGTAATTAAGATGATCGTTTAGATTGTGTTTTTAAACACAGCAATAATTCCTAACTCCAAATAAACACAAAAAAAAACAGGATATTAATTTGTTTAATTTTCCAATATTATTTTTAACAAATTAAATTAATTATTTACAACTAAAATGCAATTGGATAGTTAGGACAAACATACAAAATCTAAAGTAGTTGCTCGAAATGTAAACCCAATTGTTCAATACACAATTCACACCTACGAATGATCGAACGTGGTATAGCATTATTCAAATAAGGCCTTATTTCATCACATGCATTCCTGATTCTGTCTATTAGCATACCTCTTGTGGTTACGGGAGTCTGGTACACTTTTTTAGAAATCCCCACACAGAGAAATCTAATGGATTTAGGTCAGGGGATCGTGGAGGCCAGGCGACTGGTCCTCCACGGCTGATCTATCTTTCTGGATAATTTTCGTCCAGCCAGTTTCTAACTATTCTCGAATAATGAGCTGGACAACCATCAAGCTGGAACCAGTCCAATCTTCTTAAATCTAACATAAGATCATCCCACATATTTGCATGTTCAGCCGTTAAAAATTCCAAGAAGGTCGCAGCATTTAACCTTTCAGGCAAAAGGTAGGGTCTAAATAGTCGATTACGGTAGATACCAATCCACACGTTCACACTAAATTCATGCTGAAAATTTCTTTCACGAACTGCATGCGACCAAATATGTTGATTATCAAAATTTACCACTCCACGTCTAGTGAAGCATGACTCATCGGTCCATAAAACGTTACTTAAAAACTCCCTATTATTATCAATTCTATCAAGAATCCACTGACAAAATGTGATTCTTCGTTCTTCGTCCCCTGGCTGTAGTCCTTGCACAGGTTGCAAATGGTAAGGACGTCTATGGTCATTTCTAACAACACGGTGAACATGGCTTGCTAAAATTTCCAAGGCACCAGAAACTCTCCTAACATTTGTGGTCGGATCTCTATCAAACTCACGCAGAATCATACGGGTAAATCTGCGCTGACGAAAATTTATGTTTTCATCCCTTTGGAGATTTCCAAAACCATTTTCAATTATTTGGCGATGCACTCTTACAAATACTGAGCGAGTTGGATGTCGTCTGTTTGGAAATCTTCGTGCGTATTCTCTGGCTGCTTCTGCTGCGTTTCCATTTACACAGCCATACACAAAATGAATATCCGCTAACTCTTGTTTGGAGAATAAAAATGGCATTTTTATAAAACTTACAAAAAAAAACAGGTAAAAGAAACTAAATTTCGTGCATTCACAATTGCAAAAAAACGTTTCAGGTTTCAACAGACAACAAAACTAACTGTCAACTAATTGACGTTTAACCTTATTCTGCTTACTATAACGAAAATTCACAAGAGAGCTTTTTTATGCTGAAAAGTGCGAATAATCAGTTTTTTTATTCAAAAAGTAAAAAATTGCACTAAGAAAATTTTTTCGGTCATTTTAATACACTACAGGTACAGTAGAGAGCGTCCTCTAGCAGCTACAGTAAAACTATGGCCATGGTTCGTTTTGTCATACCAAAAAAACCCTTGTATACCAATTTTCACTGTTATACATCAAACATTGTTCGAAATATTTAAAAAAAAAACTATTTTAGAAAGTAAATTTACACACCCTGTATTTCGGAAGCCACGCATTTTTCGACCCTTGTTTATATAGACTTTATGCATTAATTTTAAAAGTTCTATCGAATCTTAAAGTTATGCAACAATAAACTGAAACACCCTGTATAGAAATTGATATTATACCGAAAAAAGTCATTATCGCATGATATGAAATTCAGTCAATGCACTTGACTCCAATTGTCAAATCATCCAAAAAATCAAATAGACTCTTCTATTTATTTCAAATTTACATCGTACGATTTATATTTTTTCGATTGTACTCTTTCAGTAGTCTAAAATGTACCTCTAGAAGGTCGTGAACAATACAGGCGCGGATCCAGTGGGGGTGGGGGTCAATAGCACCTCAAAGCATCAGACTTGCAGGATAAAAAAGAGGAAAGGGCAAAGAAGGAGTGGAAGAGGAGAGGAAAAACGGGAGAGCATAGATGGAAGGGAGGGAAAAGGAAGAGAGAGAGGGAAGAGGAAAAATGAGAATGAAGTTGTGTCATCTCATCTGAGCGCAAACGGCTTGACAATACCCCCGAAAAGTAGGCAAAACACACTACTTGTTCGCCCCCAAACGTGATGCTGGATCCACGCCTGGAACAATACAGGGTGTCCTAAAAGTTGAAACCTTTCTTCTAAGAAACAACTATGATTGAAATAACAAACCTAATGTGTGGCGAAACAGTAGCGAAAGTAAGAAAAAAAAACAAATGAAAAAATACTCACAGTTCATTTGCAGAGGAATTTCAAGTACGGCTCTGTCACTTGTAAGTAGGTGTCCAGCCGATTCGGAAAAATGGTCCAATGAGCCATGCCAGCTGAAATATTCAAAGAAAATGATTATTGAAAATGTGACCGATGGAGTATATGAGGATTTTTCAATGACCACTCATGAGTTTCCTGAAGTTATTCACTCTGATACGAGTGGAGGTTGGTTGCAAAAACCACTCACAAACACGCTCTATTAAAGGGAAATTCTCAGCTTGGAAGGCTTGAAAAAGGGGTACTACGCATCATCACGCAGCGCTTGCCATGCTTTACTCTCGGAGAATTGCATTTGTCTGGTCACTTCCCTAGTACCCAAAAATAAGCGATCTGCATACACTCGTGAAGCCTCGGCAGCATTTTGAAGACACTTGCCATAAATTGAAATCATGGTACAAGTTTGATATTGCTGGACGAGTGTGCCATTCTGTTTTTTAACCGATTTGTAAATAAATATTTTGTTTACCTACGCTGTCAGTGGCTGAGTTGAGTGACATTCGTCATGCCTGTTGATCTGATCGAGATGCAGGAGCGGATTAGGTTTAGGTTTGACTGAGTTTGCGAAGCCTAATAGGTTATTAAATTTGAAGGATTTGATGTTTATGATACTAGGAAGAACCGCTTCCAACTTTGCGGACACCCTGTATAGTGCTGACTGCATTTTCTGAACCGCAACGTTAACTGTTGTTTTTACACTTGATTATGACCTGATTAAATTGAAAATTAAACTGAAATGCAGAAGCAGTGTTTCCCCACCTACTCACATTTGCTATATATTCTTGGAATTTCCTTCGCTGTTCCCCACAATCCCTTGATTTTTGTGATTTGAAATCAAAATCATCAGAGTTGTTCTTGTATTATACAGGGTGACTTTGAAGTTGAGTCATTAATTTTCAGATAATGATTGTAGAAGGAAGATAAACCAAAATATGTGTGTAAAAATAAAAAAAAAATTAAAAAAAATTTTACCTTGTTTTATAAAGTATCCTCCCGACAAGTATTTCAGTGCGGACCTGTATTTGATCGTGAGGTCCCTGTGAGGTCTTAAGTCACCTGATTCACGAGCCCGTTGTACTACATTAACAAAGGCACGAGGGGTTGGTTGCACTCGATTGGGAAACCGATCCGCATAAACATGTGCCATTTTTTATTTCGTTTGAGCCACGCAACAGACACTATTCACACGCGACTGAAACTGACTGTATGTATAACTGAACTGAATTGTAATCGTAAAAAAATCGTTCCAAATTCTTTCGCTTTTTTGTTTCCGATGCGATGAACCGTTGTTGCCAAACACGAACACATGATATTATTGAGACAGGGCGGTACTCAAACTTCCAAAGGGCTATAACTTTGTTACTTTAATTTTACCAGAAAAATGGTAAAGGAAAAAAACATTTCTTTTGATCAGATCTACACACTGTTAAAATAAATGACTCAACTTCGAAGTCACCCTGTATATACCTATAATACAGGGTGTATGTAAATTTTATAGTCCAGGCGATATTTGCAATTTTGTGAAATTTCGAAAAAAACGGGATAATGAACTTTCAATCGCAATCACAACTAAACCATTAGGCTTAGGGCTGTGATTTTTTTTGAGATCACCTATATGGTTAGTTTTAGCAACGAATATGTCACTTTTTAACAGAGCTAGTTAGAAAACAACGCAAGAAATCATAAATTCATTTTTTTGTGACAAATCTCTTCCATCCCTCAACTTCGGAGGGCAGCAAAAAAAATTGAGGTTGTATTTCATTATTCATTTTATTGTAAAAACTATTTCAGTCCA